TACTTCTTCTGCAAATCTAAATATCTGTTATCTGTTGAAATGATAATAAATTTAAGAGTTAGTGAACCATCCCCTAAAATAGATAAAACAAAAAACTATGCTTACCTCATGAACATATGCAGTACAGTTCTTAATATAGTATTTCCCAAGCTTGAAATCATTTTTACACAGAGCACCTGTATATCAAGGGAAAAACGTTTTATTTTTTACATGGGGCGAGTTTTCAGTCTTGACATGTCTTTTCAAACCAGTGACCTATTTGCATTTCCAAAATGTCAAAACCTCAAAAAAGGAACTCTATAACCTCAACTATCAACTCATTTGGTAAAGCATACATTTGTAAATATTTCATGCAAGAACCTAACTCTTTCTACAGAATAGCTAATTCTCAAAAGCTATTCTATAATTATGCAATTAAATCTTCCCATGTTCTTTGAGACTAGTCAAAATTTTGTGGTCTCACAAAAGAAAACATGCTTATCTCTGTTCTCTCTTAAGAAACACCTAGGTCACTTTATTTATTTTCATCTCATCATTATTTTTATATAAGTAACTCAAAGCAGAAAACATACCTAAAACTGCTTCCTGCTATTTTTCCCCACAACAATCCTATGAGGTAGGTTGGGCTGAGAGAGAGCATCAATGGCCCCAGGTTACCGAGCCAGCTTTCATGGCTAAGGCAGGACAAGAATAATTGATTAGATTTGATAGTACCTGAACTATTTTATAATCTATTCTCTAGACTTCTCATTTTTAAAATGAGAGTAAATACTATCCAGTTCAGCAAACATGCTGAATCATCCTTGAAATGTGCATTTCTTTGAACATGGATCAGCATAAGTAGGAAAATATGTAGCTAATGAAGAACAAAATAAATATTGTGGGATGGTCCTATATGGAAAAAGGTCCTACAACTGAAAATTTGCTGTGGCAGTATTTTTTAGGCATGTAACCCAGGACCTAGAAATGCCATTAAAATACAGGGCTCCTCCCCCCCACCAACTCATGAAAAGCAAAAGATGAGGTGGTGTACTTTTTCTGTGGTTTAGGCACTAAAGCAAAAATTGACAGAGGAAGCAACAAAACCAGTTAAAGATATTGGAGCGGAACCAGCTTATTTTTCTGCAAGCATTTGTGTGCAGACTGGAAACGCGGGAGTTGCTTGTCAGATGCATTTCAAAGGCGGGGCGTTACACTCCGTAAAGACCTCCTACATCGGAGTGAACCGATTCACATAACGTGGCTCCTTTCTCGTCACGCTCCTGCTGACGGGAAAAGCCCCGCTTGGCGACACGCTGCTGCGCTTCTTCAGAACTTGCCCGCGCGGCCTTCCGAGCGCCGTTGGTGGGAAGCAAGGAGCCGCTTGGTCGACGAGCCTCACCGCCGTACCTGCGAAGGCTGCGAAGTAAAAGACACCCCCCCTTCCCCACCTCCAGATCCTGGACCCCGCAACCCAAGGCTTCCCACTCGAGGGAGGACAGGGATAGAAGACGAGTCTGCTCTCAAGGCGGACAGGGGAGCTGAAGTGTGGGGAGGGAAGGTCTCCGCGCGAGCGGGAAAAAGAAAAGGGGCCCCGATTCGGCTGGGCGCATCTGTCACTCACCATCCCGGCCTTGGGTTCCTTCCAAGAGAAAGGGTTTGTCTGTCTCCCCTCTCTCACTCTCCCTGGCTTTCTTCCACTATTTCCGCTTCCGGGTTTCTGTGTGTGTGTTGTTGTTTTTTGTCGTCGGTGCCAATTGTTTTCCTGTTTTCATTTCCGTCTTCGTCATCAACTCCGGAGGAGGAAAAGGCCGAAGCGATGAAAAGAACGAGCTTTATCATAGAGAGTAAATGGACCTGCGGCTAGAAGGGTCACGGGAAATTCAGAGGCTCTGTTAACGTAAGCTGTCCCTCTCCGTTGGAGGCTGCGTCCAAGTCGTTACCATGGCGGCCCGTGACGTAGATTGACGAATGCTCGTGGGACGCGGAGGGAGTAGGGATGTTCTTTGGTGGTGAGCGTCTTGCTTCGGTTGCTCGGGCAACGGCACATGCGGAACTCCCCGCCTTTCGCAATTCCCCGAATGGTAACGAGGAAGTACAGTAAACGCCACGCCGTTCAACGGGGTTGTTCTAATGCTAAGGCTGGAAGCGTTTATGTGCGATTCTTGAGCATATGCAGAGTGCTTTGTCTAAGGAATGCCTTCTGTCAACCTATATTGTGGAATTTCCACACCAAAAATAGGTTTGGCAGCTAGTTCCAAACCTTGCCATCTATCTATTCTTTTTCCCTCCCACTTTTTTATGATTCATGCCTCAGTTCGAGAGCCCACTTATTAGTCACAGTTTGGTCTTGACAGGAACATACAGTCCTCAATTAGAACAGTTCATTTAGTGACGTTCAAATTTACAATGGCTCTTCTCTTTTTGTAGACAGGTAACATGACTAGAAGAGACAGGAATGAAAGAAAAAGCTTTTTAATATAGGATGAAAAGCTAGAGTAAGAAATAGAAATAAAGGGAATATAAATATTACATTTCTATTTGATAAAATGAAATTAATAATGAGAAATAGATGGAATAATTGAATAATGATAGACTGTAAACAAATATAGATCTATATTATAGGAATTTTATGTTGATTGAATGTGTAATAATTTTAATTTGATTAGTTTTGTTCATACTGGAATGTATGGTGCCACTGTTCACGCATTAATTTGACATTTTTATAAAAAAAATAAAAAAACTTGAAGGAAAAAAATTACAACTGCACTGAAAAAAGTGACAAAAAGTGATCACACTTATGACCACTGCAACACACACACACACACACACACACACACACACACCACAGCATATATCACATGGTCAAAATTCAGATGTTTGACACCTGGCTGATATTTATGGCAGTCACAGTGCCCCTGAGTTATGAGATCACCTTTTGCAAACTTCTGATAAGCAAAGTCAATAAGGAAGCCAGACGACTGTGTTACTAACTTAACAACTGCAGTTATTAACTTAATAACTGTGGCAAGAATGGTTGTAAAATGGGGCAAAATTCACTTAACAAATGTCTCAACATATATTTTCGGCTCAATTGTGGTCATAAGTCAAGGACTATCCCTTATGTTCTGATAATGTCAGTGTTCAGCATAACATACAGAACCAATCAGTCATTGGGGCGGGGGGGGGGGGAGGGGGAGGTGAAAGCCAGGGCCAATTGTGCGAGGGAGAAATTATAAGGAGATGGTATAGCAGGAGTATAGCAGTGCCATGGAGCACAACTCAATGGCCATGGAAGAGCATTAGAAACCTGCCTTCCATCCAGAATTTATGTAGGGAGAGAGTAGTCACCCATCTTCCTCTTGAGATCTCTACACCAATAACAGGGAAATGCAAGGAGACCCTCTTTGGATAATCTGCGGTATACAGGTGGGAATATGATAGTGATATGAGCTAAGATCTGTGCTCTGGCTCCCCATCTGCCAGTTGTAGTTTCACTTGGATACAATCTTGCATTGACACCTGAGGCAGAACAGCTGCCACTGCAGCTGAATATCAGCACCTGCCATAGTGCCATTACTGCCAAAAGAATTTTTTTTAAGTGTGTGGCTGTCTGAGAGAGAGTCATGCAGACAGAGACAGAGATATACTAGCAAAGTGTGGAAAGCTTGAACTGTATATATAGAATGCCTAGGAAATGTCTGTTATTTTAAAATGCTATACTGTGTGTACTTTCCCTAGGTATTCTATATATAGGTAATCCTTGACTTTGTTTGTTTAGTGACCGTTCAAAGTTACAGTGACACTGAAAAAAAGAGACTAATGACGTTTTTCAGACATATGACTCTTGTGACATCCCCATGGTCAAGTGGTCAAAATTCAGATGGCAAATGACTCATATTTATGATGGTTCAGTGCCCGAGGGTCATATTATCCCTTTTTGTGACCTTTTGTCAAGCAAAGTCAATGGGGAAGCCAGAATCACTTAACAACTGTGCTACTAACTTGACAACTGCTATGCTCATGGTAGTGGATCTGAGTACTTGAGAGACCGCCTTCTGCCGATTACCTCCCTCCGACCGATAAGATCGCACAGACTGGGCCTCCTCCGAATTCCATCCGCCAGTCAATGTCGACTGGCGACTACACGGAGGAGAGCCTTTTCTGTTGCAGCTCCGACCCTGTGGAACGATCTCCCCGTCGAGATACGCACCCTCACCACCGTCCAGGCCTTCCGCGCAGCCCTTAAGACCTGGCTATCCCAACAGGCCTGGGGATAAGTCTCTAATTTGCCCCACCCGAGTGCTGAATGTTGAATGCAAGTTGTGTTTTTACTACTTTATTTATTTGGTTCACATATTGTTTGTTTTGAATTGCACCCCCTCCCTAATGATTGTAAGCCGCCCTGAGTCCCCTCAGGGAAAAGGGCGGCCTATAAATCCAAATAAAATACTAAAATACTAAAAAATACTGCAGTGATTCATTTAACAAATATGGCAAGAAAGATTGTAAAATAGGGCTAAATTCACTTAACAAAAGTCTCACTTAGTAAAATAAATTTTGAGCTCAATTGTAGTCATAAGTTAAAGACTACCTATAAATGCATAGGCATTATGCAGAATGGTAAGAACTATTTAGGCAAAGTATGAAATGACAATCATAAAAAGGGTTAGAGACTAATCCTAACCCTAGCCCTTTATTGAAAAGATGTATATGATAAAAAAGAAGAAATGCAAAATAAAATATAGGACAGAACTTTCTTACTAAAAAAACAGAATAAAAAGATGAGTATTGGCCTTGCTTCCACAAGGAAAGCTACAATAGCATTTTAGTGGGAGTATTTTATACTTTATTGGTTTGCCTTTTGAGATTTCATAGAATCCCTAGGAAATGTCTGAAATTTCATGATTTGATGTCCCAGTTTTGGCATTCTATAGGCTTTCTAGACATTCTATAAATGTCTAATTTAACACATTGATGGTTTTATGTATAGTGTATGTGTATGTATATGTACATATGTGCATATACATACACACAGAACTGAAGGTGGAAAACATACCTAACACTCTCTTTTTCCCCATAACAACTCTATGAGTTGTGTTGAACTGAGAGATGGAGAGAGAGATTGGCCCAAAGTCACCCAGCTGGTTTTTCATGCCTAAGGAGGGATTAGAACTCAGAGTCTACTGCTTTCTAGGCCACCACCTTAACCATTAAACCAGGCTGGCATATACTGTCTCTCCTGCCTTGTACATATATTTATCTTTACTTTTATTTAGAAAGTTTATATTGCTGCCTACTCACACATGGCGATTCAAGGAAACTTACAGGAATGTAAAATTACCATATAAAATAAATAAAAATAATAAAAAGAAAAATAATAAAATAATAACCCCAAATCCCAGCGACAATACGCATAGTAGCCATTTAATAGGCTCCATCCTGCTCTGGGTTCCCAAGGCTTCTGATAGAACCATGTCTTCAGGGAGTTCCAAAGGGGTGTTACAGTGGAGGTCAGTCTAATCTCAGGAGATGTTCCAGAGGGAAGGAGCTACCACAGAGAAGGCCCTTCTTCCCACCTGATGTATCTCCTAAGAGGACGGGACCCACAACATTCCTTGCCTCCCCAGTCTAGTGTGTAGGGTAGATGTGATCAGCAGATAACCTGGTCCCAAGCCATGGAAGGGCTTTAAAAATGACAACCAGCACCTGAATTGTACCCGGAAGCAAATTGGCACCAATGCAGTTCCCGCAGGAGAGGTGATATATGTGCATACCGAGGTTCACACAAAATCATGTGGGCCGTTGCTTCCTAATAGCTTCTGCAACTCCCTCACAGCTAAGATGAGCCTCTCACAGCTCACTCACTCCCAGTCCCAAGACAGGTTGGCACTACCTTCCATGCGAAACTTAATGTAGGTATGGGATGGGTCCTGCTTCTCTTTTAGGGGTGTTCTCTATCTGACTTACATCTTCATTGGACAGAATACTTTCTTGCATGTCTGTCCAGGTGGGATGGTTTTGGAGTTATCCCCCTTTATTGCCCCTTCCTACTGATGTAATTCCAATTCAGCATGTGATCTCTTTTTTTCATGCTACGTCAGCTCTTCCTGAACAATTGCTATTGCTCCTTTAATGATTGCCAACCTGCTCTGGAGAGATATTTTGTACACACTGGAATCCCCTAGCACATACCATATGCTTCCCAGAGAGAATCCTACCAGACCTCTTCAGGTATTCCAACAAAAATGATGTAGTTTGGGTTAGCTGCTCAGCTTCTGCAGATTTCTGTCTCCCCCCCCCACCCCCCGCCCTTGCCAAATGCAAGCCAAGAGACCAAAATATGCCCCTGCTGATCTGCCAGCTACTCAACTAAGGAGCATTTCAATAGTATGTACATCATGCATTTCATCCTTGCCACCTTCTTCCCCCTCTTCCTAAAATCTGGTTCATTATTCCACTCCTGCACCCCAAACATCCTGTTTTCATTGAGCGAGCAGAGACTGGAGAGACTGCTGTCCTGAATCAGCCTGTTGTTGCTCATTATTTGGGATTCCATGTTGCTTCCTGGATCTTAGCAGTATTTGGGAAGCTAAAACAAATGTGGTTCAGTGGGTTTTATAAACCCAGCCAATAACTGTATATTTGAATTCACATGGCATGCATAAGT